GTCAAGGGCATCGTTGGGGTGGCCCGGAGTGGATATGTACAGCTGAGTGTCATCAGCGTACTGATGGAAATCCACCCCAAAGCCACGAATGATCTCCCCCAGCGGCTTTAGTTCTAAAGTGAGTTTATCCATTTCGGCACATTCATATGGCTACACGAGCTAACAAAATGCCAAATAGAACTAAACCCGGAAACATTTCTCCTGGGAATACTTAAAAAAAAATTTGATAGGAAAATTAGATATTTGATTCTACACATATTAACTGCGGCAAGAATTGCATTCGCGCAATACTGGAAGGAACGCAATATACCACCAGAGGGATTGATCATTCAGAAGATATATGAATGTTTTTTTTTAATTATTATCCACTTGACAGGCAAGATCTCCCTTCCCTGTCTTATTATGAAACTATACAGTTGTTATCTGTTGCAACAGAAACTGTTTTATGAATCTAACAAGGGTTGAGTTGGCACATCATGCTTGACAATGCCATATACGCTTGATAAACACTGGATTGATAAATGTAAAAGATTGAGTGACCTTTGACTCAGGGCACTCTCTTGGACTTGGGTTTCCAGTTTGCTGTGGCTCTAAAATTAGTTGTGGAATGCAGAAACCTAAGTCCTCATTTGTAAATGTTAAGATTGTGTTTCGTACAACAGTGGTCATTTTGATTGGGGTGCCCCAATCAAAGTTCTGAAATATTTCTACCCTTAGCTATACAGGAAGTGTTACATAAGCTTTAGGTCTATCTTCAGTTTACTTATTGAGCCATTTCCTCTGGTGTATTAGAATTATGAAAACCTGGGCCAGTACTTTATGCAAATGAGGCCGACTGTTGCTGGTGAATAGCATTTCTTTTAAAATGCAGATTTTAAAGGAAGGAGCAGAAACTAGGCGTGCTGTAAATCAGATTGCAAGGGGGTGGGGATGCCTCTCTTGGCAAACTGAGCATAACTTATATTATCTCCTGCTCCCTAGCTTTTTACTAACAAACGTAGCCCTCTAGATTTTGCTTTCTACAGGTAGTCCTCAGCTTACGACCACAAATGAGCCCAAAATTGATGTTACTAAGTGAGACATTTGTGAAGTGCATTTTGCCCCATTTTACGACTTTTCTTGCCACAGTGGTTCGATGAATCGTTGCCCTTGTTAAATTAGTAATGCAGTTGTTAAGTGAGTCTGGCTTCCCCCACTGATTTTGCTTGTCAGAAGGTCACAAAAGGTGGATCATGTGATTCCCGGGACACTGTGACCGTCATAAATATGAGCATCTGGATTTTGATCATGTCATTTTGGGAATGCTGCAACAGCCGTTAAATGTGAAAAACGGTCAAAAGTCACTTTTTCCAGCGCCGTTATAACTTTAAGTGGTTGCTAAATGAACTGTTGTAAATTGAGGACTACCTGTAGTACATATCAACTAATAATAATAATAATAAAGTTGGAAGGGACCTTGGAGGTCATCAAGTCCAACCCCCTGCTCAGGTAGGTAACCCTATACCATTTCGGACAAATGGCTGTCCTGTCTCTTCTTAAAAACTTCCAGTGTTGGAGCATTCGCCGCTTCTGGAGGCAGGTTGTTCCACTGGTTAATTGTTCTAACTGTCAGGAAGTTTCTCCTTAGTTCCAGGTTGCTTTTCTCCTTGATTAGTTTCCACCCGTTGCTTCTTATCCTGCCTTCAGGCGCTTTGGAGAATAGCTTGACTCCCTCTTCTTTGGGGCAACCCCTGAGATATTGGAAGACTGCTATCATGTCCCCCCTCATCCTTCTCTTCATTAAACTAGACATACCCAATTCCAGCAACCGTTCCTTATATGCTTTAGCCTCCAGTCCCCTATACTCACATATACATCCTAATTTGGGGTGAAATCCCCCCCTAAAAATAGTCACACAGTTTGATTCTTTGCCTTGCCTTGAAGGCTTAAAAATCTGGAAAATGGCCAACCTCTGTGGCGGTTTTGATTATCTACCCCATGATTCTTGTGTAGGAATGTATAGTGGCTATGATTCAAAGATGTACAGCAGACCGGTTACATTTCCTTCGCCCAAATCTCTTTTTTTTTCTTCTCTACCATATTGCAATCTGCTTTTCAAATACTACAAGGTTGTTTCCATTTTTGATGCAACCTGGCTGAGAGCATTGCTGCTCTGCTGTTTTGGAGGTAGAGAGAGAAGGGACCCTACATTTCCTCATATCTCAACAAGCTTGTAACTCTTCCACCGACTAGACATCTTTGAGAGGGTGAAAATATCCTTAGCAACCACTTCATTACAAAGGATTTTTGAATCTCTATCCCAAATACCCTAAATAAGTATTTGGGATAACGAGAAAGAACAGGGAAAAGAAAATTTCTGAATTTTTCCACCGCAGGGTGAAGAACTTTAAGAATTAAGTCAAAAATTCAATACAGGAGATAATCTCTTTCAAATTGGTGTGTCTTAATTATCCATCAATGCAATGAAAAAGCTTCTGGTGACTTATGTTTTCTACATTTAACATTTCCCTCCTCCCCCACAAAAAATGTCTATTCAATCTCTGCTTAGACACAGCCAGCAAAGGGAGAACTCAACCCCATGCTGGGCCACCAGAGTGTGAACCAGCCCCAGGAAATGACAATTAGTGTTGCGGTCCACTTCCACCCTGCTAGTCATAAACGCTCCACAGGCAACATTATATTTTGTCGTGAAAGCTGCCAACTGGAGCAGAAATCCCTTTTCTCAAAGGTTTCTCTCCTGCACTATATTTAGCATCACCATTGAGAAGAAGCTGGGGTTTCTGACCTTCAAAACACTGGTCTTCTGGAGCTTTAAGAAATGATGAAATGATGAGCTTAATATAACCATTCATGGTGGGGGGGGGAGGTGATAATGACATGGTTCCGACAGATGAGACTCTTCAAAGAACTTCGATGTTAGCAGTGTGGACAGATGCTGGTTGAGAGAGTTGTCCACTTGTCTTGGAGACCAAGACAAAAGCTAACTATCCAGCTTCAGGATTCTGTAGTGTTAAAAAACAACAACAATCCCCCCCAATCTCTCCATCTGCAACAAAATCCATGGATGTCTTCGTTTGGAACTACATCCAGTGAGCGTTATGCAATCAGGGCGAGATTTAGAGCAGTTGCCTTAAAATATCCCTGTTTGCTTTGAAATACTGGAGCTTCCATCTTAAATTATGGATGCAAAGTAATAAATCTTTTACTAGCCAAGTCATTTTTTATTTTTTATTTTAGTTTCTTGCACGACGTGGTTTGTGAAGGCAGGCAGTTTAAAAGCGTACCTCTGCAAAACTGGAGAGGGATTTGTAATCCCACTAGCATGATGTCACTCTTTGTGCTGGATTGGCGAAGTGGGAAAAAGAGAGAGAGAGAGAGGGAAGTCTGGCCTGTCACTTGATAATTGATGTTATTAGGACTCTGGATGAGCAGTGAAGAACACAAGAGGTGATAGATAAAATGGCATTCTGTCAGAATAGGGCGATTCTGAATTCCACTTTATTTTTTTTCATTTGGAATCATGGTTTATTTCTTATACTGTGCTTTTTCCGCTGAAAGCATTCATGTGCATATTTTTGCTGTGTAGGTAATATTGGACACAGTGCTTTTTTAAAAAAAAATACTTTGTAAACAGAATAACAGAGTTAGAAGGGACCTTGGAGGTCTTCTAGTCCAACCCCCTGCTCAAGCAGGAGACCCTATACCATTTCAGACAAATGGTTGTCCAATCTCTTCTTTAAAAGCCTCCAATGATGGAGCACCCACAACTGCATACAGCATGGTTGGTTTATGAGGATTGGCGCCATTGGATCAAAGGAAGGACTATTCCTTCCTCATTCTTTTTGTCTTTGGAAAACCTCTCCCACTTTTGCATTTGGTGGGGCAGGCTGAGAAATACATCTTCTTTTCCACATCCTGCTCAATCCACCAGATTGTCATGCAAGAAAGAAAGAAAAAAATCACCTGATTAGTAAAAAGAATTGTTGTGTTTTCACCCATAATTTAAGCTGGAAGCTCTAGCACTGAAAGCAAGCAAAAATATTTTAAGGTAGCTGCTGTCCACCCAGTCGTAATTTTTCTAATGCTCCCTTGATGTAGATCAGAGGCATCCAT